TTTTCAAGAGTTGATGATTGATTGTTAACTACTACTAATTATGAACTAAGTAAACGTAAGTAAATGTGAACGACTTTAAGATGATGTTTCAAGCAAGTAAAGGACAATTCTAGGGTTGCAGCATGCAATGAATCTCATGTATCATATTAGTGGCTTAGAACTAATTTTTAGTCGGCAAGTTACTGGTTTACAGGGTTAATTGTATGAGTCGGGTTCACACCTCTAGTCGCCTACTCCAATTAGCTATCTAACTACATCGTTGAGCAGGGATAAATAGACTAACTGGCGAGCATTTATATTTCATCATGTTTCGTAACCAAGCGAGTTGTTCGTCCGAGCGTCACTCCTGAACACAAATCACCTCAACTTAATGGGTCGATCAAGCTCTCTATATTCTCTGGTCTATCTAACCTCTCCTCTCCCGATTCAAGTTTAGACAATATATTTATCTTATGGTGAACAAGCATAAAATACTAAAACAAGAATATAGCAGTAACTTATAATGACAACCAAGAATTAATTCAACAAGCCTTTAATAATCAACAATCCATTCGTTGCTACAGCCCCATAACAAGGGTGTTTAGCCGCTCATGCTATTAGAAAACCACAAAATACAATTGTTCATGCGATTTTTGGAAAATAGAAGAGTTAAAAGATCAAAACCTATTACAAGCGTGAACACTTGCTCTTGCACACCCAATAAAAGTCGAACGCTAATTATGGAGCCCTAAGGGTCTATTTATAATGGTAGGAAAATTAGAGCCAAAGTCTATTACAATTAAGAATCCTTTTTTAACACTTTTAAGCTGGAAAAGTCGGGATCTCACTAGCGTGTCGCGCCTAGAATCGCGCCCAAACTTCACCTCTAAGGTTTCCATCCTGGCGCGTCGCGCCTCTTAGAGCGCCTGAGAAAGGCCCCAAAATGTTGGGCCTTGGCGCGTCGCGCCTAAGAGGCCTCTCTGAATGTTGGCCCTTGCCTTGGCGCCTCGCGCCTAGCAGTGCTCCTGGCCCTGGGGCCTTCAGCCTTAGCTTCTTTTCAGCATATCCTTGCATCTTTTCTTTCAATTTGACTCCAATCTCCTTGAGAGTTCCTGAAACCTCTAATCACATATTTTTAGTGCATAATATCGCAAGTATAACGAAATCAAGCTAATAGACTCAAGATCATTCGTTACTTCAATCAATTCATGGGCAAATATTGACAACTTAGACACATAAATATGCCTAAGATCACCAACCAAATGTACCCTTTTTCGTTATAAGTAGGAAAGAGAGGTGCATGATCTCGCGAATTACTTATGTATAAATTCATAAATTATATGTAAGAACCATAGCATTTTGCGATTCATTGGTAAATTGATTTTGATTCACTATTAACCAATAATGTGGAACTATTAACATGGTTAAAACAAATTGTTTGAAGTCTAGACACAGCATGGTACTCTTTCTACCACTATGTTAATATAGAGGTGGTTTCAAAATAAATATTTTATCGATATAGGATACTCATATTGATAAAATGATTTTAACTGCTTATTGTAAATTGAAAAAATAGGGATTTTACCCCCTTTATCTAATGCTGAATCGACGACCTATTCTAAGTAAGAAGGACTTTTTTGGATTTAGAAAAAAAAAAAAACTTTGCTGACAATTACATATTTTGGAGTTTGTCAGAAGAGTCCTCCGACTATTTTGGTCTTACATTAGTTTCGATATCTTTTTGGAATATGAACAAAGAAGAGAAGATAGGCTCATTACATTCATAAAAAAAGATATGAGAATTTACCTTAAGTAATTGAGCGTGAGAGCCAAATGAATCGAAAGATTCATGTTTGGTTCGGGAAGGGATTATGGAATTTTGGAAAGGAATGGAAAAATAATCTACTTTCATTAAGTGATTTATTAGATAATCAAAAACAGAGGATCTTGAATACTATTCGAAATTCAGAAGAACTGCGCAGAGGGGCTATTGAACAACTCGAAAAAGCTCATTCTCGTTTATGGAAAGTAGAAACCGAAGCCGAGCAGTTTTGAGTGAATGGATACTCCGAGATAGAACGAGAAAAATTGAATTTGATTAATTCAACTTATAAAACTTTGGAACAATTAGAAAATTACAAAAACGAAACGATTCAGTTTGAACAGCAAAGGGCGATTAATCAAGTCCGACAACGGGTTTTCCAACAAGCCTTACGAGAAGCTTTAGGAACTTTGAATAGTTGTTTGAACAACAAGTTACATTTACACACCATTAGTGCCAATATTGGCATGTTGGGAACAATGAAAGAAATAACTTATTAGTCTTTCTAAGGTAAGTATTATTTTTTTCTTTCAAAAAAGAATAAAGAAAGAATCATGGTAACCATTCGAGCTGACGAAATTAGTAATATTATTCGTGAACGTATTGAACAATATAATAGAGAAGCAAAGATTGTAAATATCGGTACCGTACTTCAAGTAGGCGATGGCATTGCTCGTATTCACCGTCTTGATGAAGTAATGGCGGGTGAATTAGTAGAATTTGAAGAGGGTACAATAGGCATTTCTCTGAATTTGGAATCAAATAATGTTGGTGTTGTATTAATGGCGACGGTTTGTGGATACAAGAAGGAAGTTCTGTAAAAGCAACGAGAAGAATTGCTTAGATACCCGTGAGTGAGGCTTATTTGGGTCGTGTTGTAAATGCCCTGGCTAAACCTATTGATGGTAGAGGTGAAATTTCAACTTCTGAATTTCGATTAATTGAATTTGCCGCCCCCGGTATTATTTCACGATGTTCCGTATATGAGCCTCTTCAAACCAGACTTATTGTTATTGATTCGATGATCCCTATAGGACGTGGTCAACGAGAATTAATTATTGGGGACAGACAGACCGGTAAAACAGCAGTAGCCACAACTACGATTCTCAATCAACAAGGTCAAAATGTAATATGTGTTTATGTAGCTATTGGGCAAAAAGTGTCTTATGTGGCCCAGGTAGTAACTACTTTACAGGAAAGGGGAGCGATGGAATACACTATTGTGGTAGCTGAAATGGCAGATTCCCCTGCTACATTACAATACCTTGCTCCTTATACAGGAGCAGCTCTGGCTGAATATTTGATGTATCGTGAACGACACACTTTAATCATTTATGATGATCTCTCCAAACAAGCGCAAACTTATCGCCAAATGTCTTTTCTATTACGAAGACCGTCCGGTCATGAAGCTTATCAAGGAAATGTTTTTTATTTGGATGATCTATTCTCTTAAAAGAAGGTTATAAGAATGACCCAATTTGTCCTTGTGTATTTATTAGAAGGTCTTGATCTGAATTTGTCATAATAGTTATATATGTTGATGACTTGAATATCATTGATATTCGTGAAAAGCTTTCAAAAGACAATAGATGTTTGAAAAAAGAATTTGAAATGAAAGACTTTGGAAGACAATTTTGTCTTATCTATAAATTGAGCATTTTACAAATGGAGTATTTATTCATCAATCAACATATACTAAAAATATTTTAAAGATATTTTACATGTATAAAGCACATCAACTAAATGCCTCAATGATTGTCAGATCACTTGGTATTAATAAAAATTCATTTCGACCTTATGAGAATGACGAAGAACTGGTTGGTGCTGAAATATCATATCATAATACAATTGGTGCATAGATGTACCTTGCTAGTAATTCTCGACCAGATATATCTTTTTCTGTAAATTTATTAGCAAGATTTAGTTCTTCCCCCTACACAAAGACACCGGAATGATATTAAACATGTATTTAGATACCTCCGACGGACTATTGATATGAGACTATTTTATTCAAAAGAATTCAGTTCACAATTAATTGGCTATGCAGATGCATGATATTTGTTGACCCACATAAAGATCGATATAAAACATGATATTTATTTACATGTGGAGGTACAACTATATCACGGCGTTCTACAAAACAAACTATAGTTGCTACTTCTTCAAATCATGCAAAGATAATAGCCATCAATGAAGCAAGTCGAGAATGTGTGTGGTTGAGATCAATAACCCAACACATCCAGAAAACATGTGACTGTGCTTTAAATGGAGATATCCCAACAACATTATATGAAGACAATGTTGTGTGTATAGCTCAACTAAGAGAAGGATATATCAAAGGAAATATAACAAAACATATTTCACCAAAAAAAAAAATTTACTCATAATCTTCAAAAGAAGAGTGAAATAGATGTTCAACAAGTTCGTTCCAACAATAATTTAGCAGATATGTTCACCAAGGCATTACCAACTTCAATTTTTACGAAGCTGAGATACAAGATTGGAATGTGTCATATTCGAGATATTAAGTGACATCTTCATAGGGGGAGTAAAAAATGCGTTGCACTCTTTTTTCCTTAACCAAAGTTCTATCCCACTCGATTTTCTTGGTAAGATTTTTAATGAGGCAGCAACCAATGTGTATTACAAATAATTATGTATATTTCTTTTCTTATACATAAACATCCAAGGGAGAGTGTTATAAACAAGTGGATGTCCATAGAAATCTACCTTCACAGTAGCATGTTAACATCTCCGAGTAAATTTCACCCCTATATAAAGGTCATTACACTTTAATGGAGACATACATAGACTGAAAAGAAAATTACTTATCTCCTCTTTCTTATACTATTACTTGTCTCTTTCTTTCTTCTTTTAACTTTTATAACAAAACTACTTTGTTTTAATCAAAATACTCACAGTAACATGATTTCAGATTCCTCAGCATCCGTCCTGCCCCATTGCCATAGAGCTTCACAATGGATATAAAATCCATGCAAAATTGACTGTTTGTTGGGACTCCCTCTAAATCCATGTAGGTCGCTTCTATACTTGGTCACTTCAAAACAGAAAGTACCGAATCATGCCGCTTTGTACCACTTCCCACTGGGGCAGCATGTGAAAGGAACTAACTGACCCATTCAAGAACAGTACGCACAAATTTCAAATCATTATTTTCAATATATTGTTTGACAGTTGGTTTAAGTGGAAGTTGCTAAGCAATATTTTCATAACAAATTTGAGAATCTCAGACAACAAATTTGTTAGCTATGCATTAAATTCGCGGTCGTTCTGTACAGAAAATATGTAAGTGATGTCCAAAACTAGTTGCTCACACGTCAATTATGTACAAATAAGAATGCAATCCAACTATAACATCACGCTCCCGCCTCTAAAGAAAAATGAGGCAGAGTGCAACATTCTAGCAAAGCTTACTCAATCACCAACTCGAAAGCCTGGAAGAAACACAAAAGAAATGATACTTCAGAGGGAGGGAGGGAGATGGTAATGTAAATTCAGACACTGAATGTGGAAACTGATGGACATTACCCATTGTGTATATTTCCGGCATGGTCCTTTTACCTGCAAACTTCGTCTCGAGTATATACCAGGATTGAATCCAAATTGTTGACACATCTAAAGATCAACCTAAGACATCAATGCTGTTCCCACCCAAATCAGGTTTTGTATTGTGAAGGCCTGCCTCTCCGCCAACATGAGTTTGTCACCTGTTTGAAATGATACTCAGTAATCTGCACTTTATAACCTGTGAGCAGTGGTTTCAATAAGGTCTATGGAAGAAAGCGTACTTTCAATTTGTTCTCCTTCAAAGATTCCATGGATTCAGCAAGCTCTACTTGTTGCGATGCTGTTGCAAGTAGTGCCTAAAACAAAAATATTTGTTCCACTTTGTTAATGATAATTAAATAACTCTACAATTGGACAAAATGAACGTATCTGAAAACAGTGCATAGACCATTACTTTCTTCGTCCTCTGCAAGTCATACTCTATGAACTTTATGCGGTCCATTGAATCAAGCAGCATGAGCTCTTTTTCTGGAGGAATTTTGGTTGGTTTCTTCAACAAATCAGCTACGACGTTCTCTAAATGTTGCAACCTCTGACAGCATGGATGGAGGAGATCCTCCTTTTTCGGGGAAGAAACATTTTGCTCGGCTGAACTTGCATTCACTGATACCCGTCCATTTCTCAATCTGTTTGCATCACTATTCTTCACAAATAACCTACCCACCCCATGAAACAAGAAGCATATCCATGCAAGTGATTTGACCATCATATTAATCATCAAGCTAAAGATGGATTTCTCAGGCGACCTTCTTTGTACTGATACAGTAGCTCTATCTGTTGCAAAGAGAATACAATGATTAGTCTATGATCCCTTAGTAATGCTTCTTTTCACAACAAACCAAAATCCTGTAGAAGTTCTAACGTAAAAAATGGCGAACAAACAAATTAGTATAGACAAGCTCCCTTTCCTCTTGAAAGTGAAAACGAAACGATGCACAAGGAAGATTTTGAGAAGGCTGGGGAAACAAAACTGCTTTTGGTGCAAGTGTTTGGAAGGCTATCAGAGCTCTATGGCCAATTTCAGCATAAAATCAAACTGCAGAGTTGAAAATAGGCAGAATACACCCTTTTGGGAAGACAATTGGTTGGGGCAAGGTACTCTAAAGCTATTATTCCCACATATTTACACTTCATACCAACAACGGAAGACCACTATTGATGAAGTGTGGACTACACAGGGATAGAATCTAAGTTTTAGGAGAATTTGAATGATTTGGAGGTTGCCAGATTTGTAGAATTTCATATAACACACTCACAATCAGTTCACAGGGATGAACCAGAATCACACGATCAAGATTGAATATGGTGTCTAGGGCATATGCTACAGAAACAAGGCAACATGTCCAAAGTAAAACTTGAGAAATTACTGATACCATACAAGTATAGAAAAATGTAATCAGTTGAATAATACAAAATGAAACTCGCTGATTGACCATAGAAATCAAAATTCTTACTTGGAGAATTCAAATGTTCATCTGTAAGCATAAGGCCATAATCTTCTTGAACTAAGCTGCCAAATGAAACAGATCTCCTAGTTGGTACCTAAAGCAATCAAGCAGGAGAGCTATGAATATAGAAATATATCGCAGAAACACAGAACATTGAGCATATCAAATTCGAGGTGGAAATTTTTAAACAAGTTTTTGTTTAGTGTTGTAGATCACAATTGATAACCAATTAATGGAGAACCAGATTCTACAAATCAGATTATAGCCATCCTCCAGTATATAGGGCTAATGATTGCAGTCAACTAAGGTTTACATAGAGTAAAGTGAAAAAACGAAAGAAAATACTCCGTCTATCCCATTAAATGGCAACTACTTTCATTTCGCAGTAGTTTAAGTAAAATTGATAGGTAGATGTTAAACTGTTTGAATAAGTTACTATATTCAATATGGCAGAAAAATATTAAAATAATAAGTTTATAATAAGAAAAAGGGATTTGGTTAAAGGCAAAGTAGAATAGCACGGATGTGCAATAGGCTCATGTCACCTGCTTGATTCTTGCCCCAGAACCAAGTTAGGTATTTAAGTGAGAAGGGTTGAGGAGCAAGCCCACTGAATTTTGAAATTGGAAATATCAGATTTCTTTTATCTCAAAAAAAATAAAAAAAATATCAGATTTCTCAGTTTAACAAAAAATGAAGTATAGTAATTTGGTTAGACATCACATCAAGTCACATTTTTTTTTTTCTATAAATGATCAGTAAAAAAAATAAGAAGTTACACTATTATTTTATATTGAACTAAATTCTTGGAGGGAGAAATTTTGTTTCAAGTGAAAAGGTCAAATTTTGGGACAGACCAAAAGAGAAACTAGTAAATTTTTATTGGGGCTGGAGGAAGTGCATTCCAAGGGGATACTCCTCCTCTGGCAAATGCAAAACATATTTACAAATTCACAAGGATGATGCATCTGTCATATCTTTCTTTGCAGGGGAACCATTTTGTGCACGATTAAACAATAATCCTTCTGTGCAATTTTTTGTTGCTAAAGAGTGTTCATTCAGTTTTCTCACTACCTTCCCTTCAATAATACAGGAAAGTTAATATCACACCCTAGAAAACTTTCTGGTCAAATTACCAATGTATATTGCAAATGATGATGAAATGGCTTACGAAATTGAGGTAACTCAAATGTAGATGTGTTCTCAACTTGGCATAAGCATAGATCAGAAGCTGGTAAACCATAAAAAGGGCAAACAGAGACTTGTTACTCACTTTGTCTGAAAGTTGTTTTGATTGCATGATACTGTAAGCCGAGACCCCCACTTCCACTTCAGATTCTGCCGAACCAATCTCATTGCGTAGTAACTGAGCACAGAATAATGGTCTCAAACACAATGCATCTCGAAGATAATTGGAAAGGCAGAACATAGTGCAGCTAAGCCACTATAATACCTGTGGAGAAACTGGTTTGATTTCGATATCACTATCGGAGAAGCTTGTAATTCTCCTGGGATAAAGTGCTTCACCATGTAATGCATGGACCAGCTGCAAGAATTTTTGGCATGATAAGTAAGAAATGTCTTGCAACGGATTATTACACAAAATCCTGAATGCCATTTCTACAGACAAAGCCACACCTTCATCAGCTCTGGATCATTCCAGGGTCCTTTATCAGACCTAAGACACCCATCTGGATTTGGGCATGAGCAGGTTCCTCCAAGAAAATCTGGCAATTGGCTGATCACAAACCAATGTACATTATGATGGAATTAACACAGTTTACTCAATAATCATACTTTGACAATATAGAAAATGACATTTTATCAACCATTCATATACCTGGGGTCTATGACTTCTGCTAAGTTGCTCTGGAATTTGTTTCCCAGTACCTGTTAATTGAACAGAGGCAATCAATGTGAGTTCACATGAACCTTAAAGACAACCATGCAGATAATGGAAGTGTTCCTTTACATGAATTTTTGCTGTTGTCTTTGGATCAAGAAATCCTTTTGCAGTATTCCATAGAAATCTGAATCCATTTCCAGCATTGACAATAAACATCTGGTGCAATGTCTGCAGAATAAAAAAGTTATTAGCAAAGGATCAAATAATTAAAAGGAATATAAAAAAAAATCATTTACTCTTCCAAACTGAAACTAACCTCTGGATAGTTGTCACCATCTATCTTTTGCATGCGCATGACCAAATCATGGGCAAGTTTCCCAAAACTCCGCCAATTCTACATTATCACAGAAAAGATGGTGCATATCAAATATGGAAACTAATGAAGTTTAGGTTGAATATCAAGTAATTCAATACTGACCAGTCCTTGTACATCCAAGATTGTAGTAGATGAATCTATATGCCTCCTAGCTGCGATCGAACATGCTGGAAATTTTTCAGCAAAAGTCCTTTCAAACCCTTGGATATGATACTTTAAGAACCTTTCTATTGTGGTAACATTCATAAGTTTAGTAGGTTCAATCTTGCCAAGTCTTTCAATATAGACGGGTCGTCCTCCTCTGTCTACACCATGGTAACCATGAGGGTAATAACGCTGAATTTCCTCATATTCCTCATAGGCAAAATCCTAAACATTTCAAGAATATAAATCAGAATTTAGACATCTAAAGACAAGAACATGTGCCTAACTTTAAATTATCAAAAGCTGTTTGTCATGTATGCATTTCAAATTTGGGACGGCAGGAACACTAAATGAAGACACACAGAGAGATAGGCATAGATGTACATATCTGATACTGTTTAAGACTTCCTTAGGATTTTAAACAAAAGATTGTTGTAATTCATTCAAGAAACATAAAAATATGGCAGGGTAGAAGAGGGAGAACCTCACTATAGTTTGACAAACTTTACAAATATTAGCATTAATGATGGAAGTACTTTTTTTTTGTGAAGAACATATATGATAGCATTTGACTCTGAAGCCTTAAAGCAACAACAACATACCCAATGTAGTCCCACAAGTGGGGTCTGGGGTAGAGTGTACACAGACCTTACCACTACCTCGTGGAGTAAGAGAGGTTGTTTCCGAAAGACCCTTGGCTCAAGTGTAGCAAATCCAAGAACAAAAAGTAAAAGAAAAAGACATAGCCAATAACAAGAATAACAGCTCACGTTCCACAAGAAATAGTGAAATAGAATGAATGGTGTCATGCAGTTTTCTCGAGAAGTATCAATTGAAAACCTGAATTGCAGAAATACCAATTTGGGTAACCAGTAACCACCATGTAACAATTATGAAAAAGTTGATATAACACGCCTAAATCCCTAATTAGGGTTGACTACATGAATCTATCATTCCACCTGTCATGTCAAGGGAATTCATCCTAATATCAGGCACCATCAACCTACACAACCCTCCTTCTTTACCCGGAATTGGGGCCAACAATGGTTTGCAGATATGTAAATTTATCACAGCAATGACAATGTAGCCACAAATTTTCCAACAATATCAGCTACAACTCAATCCCAAGCTAGTTGAGGTCATGAATCCTCATTATCATATGCTTCGTTTGAATCCATAATATTACAATATTCCATACTTAAAACTTATCTAACACTACGAGTTCTCTAATATGCTCTAATGACTATATACTAAGAGTACTCTAGTGAACAGTAGTCTTCAAGTTGATATCACCTATACAGATTTTCAACTTCCATTTTTCTTTATCTTTTGCTAAAGCTGTCTAGATTTCGAGATATTTTATACCTATTAATACTAATAAACGATTGCCTTCCATATAGAAAAGTTTCCAGTTTAACATCAATTGTTGAAATCAAATTATAACAATGTCATAGCTCCAGACAATTTACTCGCCACTTTGGGTAAAAGGTGGGGAAGGACTAAATACAATAAAAACAAGATAGGAAAGGGTTGTCAAATAAAATTTATATGCTGCATCAAGATTTGATAGATTTCAACTAGTATTACATACAAAGAAGCATTAAAAATTGGAATGCTTGGGTACATTGGCTCCTTCAAGATGTTGCTATTGTTCTAAAGATGTCAAACAGTTACTTCAATCATTTTGAAAAAACTAAGCTATAAAAGATGTCCAGAAAATGTTTAGCAGGGGGCTTTGATAACTTTATACCAACTATCATCATTTAGTGTACAGCTGATGAGCAACAAAACTTGCTGTTTTCTAGCAAAAGCAAAATACAGCAACATGCATGTAAATTGTGTGCAACAGAACCTACCTCTATAATCGTGTCTACTCCTTGTTCTTTCCTCCAGTTGAGCATTTCAGACCACATTAGCATGGCCTTATCAAGGTCAAATTTCCTTGCTTTTAGGAACCTGAAATGGAAAGATGCTGTCAACATGATAAAAGAAACAGCGTGACTAGAGAAACTGAATCATATTGTCTTACCGTGCATGAAAAAAGAAGAACAATTCTCTTACTGAAAAACATCTTTTCAAACTATTGTGAAGAACAACAACAACAATATACCCAGTGAAATCCCACAAGTGAGAGTATTGTGAAAGAAAGAGTAGACAGGAAATTAAGCAAACATATACGTTTGAAGAAAAATTGTTAGAGAAATAAGATTTGATGATCAAGAGGAGAAAGAATTATGTAGAGGTACTTCCAGAAGATAAAATATCTGGAGCACCATTTAATTTATCTTGTCTGTCATCAAAGAAAATATGCTGCCATGAGAAAAAATTGAGATCTATTTCTTTTTTGCTATTGTTTAAGTTTCAGAATTCAAGTTCCACATTGGTACACAAAGAATAGGTCTGTACCAAAAATCATGGTCTCAAACCGATGGTCGCCATAAAGAAACCTCCTATTGGTAATTGATAGGATTTCACCAAAAATAAAAAGCTGTAAACATGAAAAATTAAGCTCAGTATCAAGCTTGCCAAACTCTTTAGTCTTTGTTGAGATGAATGCAAGAATTTTGAAAATAAATTAACCATTTTTTTTTTATGACAAGGGAAACCCGCAGCCGCTACCATTTGGGTGCGCACAGGGTAAAACCCTGGCTCCTATGCAATAGCTCGCAAACCACACAGGAGATAAATTAACCATTTTATTCCATGATTATTGCCTTATGCTTGTATTTAGACAAGAGACGCTAGGAAAAGTTTTAATTAGTCTAAAGTTCTCAAAGAAGTCTATTTCTAATCCTCAAAAAGACAACATCTCAATTATTCACAAGCTACATGAATTATAATCAGGAAAGTAATGTGAAATATTTGCAGCTAGATGATTTAAAGTTATATAGCCCACTAGGATTTGGATAATCAACAGATGAATTCTGTTTGTAAATGGATAGACAAGGAGATATACTGATCTAGACAAGAAAACAACTAAGGTCAAGCATCTGTGTTCCTTAAATAGATAAAAACATGTGCCCACACCTTAGGTGTGATATCTGAATTAATATGCTCATTCATGGAAACAATCTTATAAATGGACAAAAAACTCATTAAAAGGTTTCTATTACCCAAATTCAAGACCCTTCCACCATCTATACCTGATATTTTTAGGAAGAGACGTCATGCTTCTATAATACTAATAAATAAAAAACTTCGGTACTCTTTCCTCTTTTTTTCCTTACCTCAATGGCAGTAGGTTAGATAATTCTTCTCCCTCAAATTTCTATCAGCAGTCACAAGAAAAGAGAGATAGACTAAACTGCTTGTTCTTAAGCTCTTTAGTGTCTTACTTTCGCAAGAGAAATGACCCTTCACATTGGAAGCAACCAAAACTTATTAAGGTCTTTATTTTCCTTAAACTTCTAAATTTACTTTCAGGAAGATTAAGCTCAGATCAAGTATCCAAAAAAGGTATAGGGACCGATGACATCCAAATTAATCCCCCAAGATCATCCGATTCACCTACAGCATTGGAGGGCGGAGGCTCAAAGAACATGAATTTAATTAACAAAGGAAGAATGTTTCATGAATCTTCCCAAGCTTCTTGTGCAACTGCATTTCGAAACTTCCTTAGCAATATATTTAAGATCCCCTCAAACATGTGTACTGTAGATTAATATCAACAATTTGAGTTACAAAACTACATCTACTATGAAGGCTACAGTAAAGTAGCGCTAGTGACTATTTCCCCAACTGGATTTGATCGCAGAACTTTACGGAAGGCATGACCTTGCATTGCAATCACATTTGAGACTTTGCTTACAGACAGCACCTCCAAAAGAAAACTTTTGTATTGATGTTTCCTCTATATTTTGCTTTACAGAGTTTTGTGTATTGATGTTTAATTTTTATTTGATGCAACAGAGAGCATAAAATACGGTTAATTCTTTCAGCTGATCTGCAAGTTACCTCAACATAGTATGATAGTCATCATGACGAGCCGGAAGGAGATCCTTTTCTATCAAGGCCTGGCGAAATGAATTCACTGCCTCCTCTTCTTTCTCGTCTCGAAAATCTTCCGTTGAAATGGAAGCAAATCGGCAATGAGCGACTCGTTTACTACGTCTTTTGAGCGAATGCGTTAGCTTTGTAGAAGCACTCATTGCCTTTTTTTTCAAAGATCTGATTCGAGTTCTTCTCTTCTCATCCTCAGATGCCTCAAAATAATATCTTTTTGTTCTTTCGTGATCGTGAATCCCAACAATTTCTATATATAAAAAAAAACATAAAAAAGCAAAAGGAATCGATTCAATTCTCAAATTCATTAAAATCCGAATCAAAATACGTGCAGCTGAATCCAAATTTGACAAAAAAAAAAAAAAAAACCTGGCATTATGTTTCTCAAATCCAAATTAATCCGTGATTTTGCATAAACCAATCCAGTTCTTCAATTTTGAATTATATCGTGAATCTGCAGAAATCAACATAAAATTTCAGATCTTCAACCAAATCATTCCCTTAGAGAAAAACTGGATTAAGGATCGGGATAAAATCATAAAACCGAAACGTTTTTTACATGATTAACAAGCAATTCATCCATTTCATGTGTATACCTTAGGAACACGGAATGTAGATGATCAATTGAATTCTCTCTCTCTCTCTAGCCTTTTGCTTCTATACAGTGTACGTACGTGTGTATAAATATATTAGCTAACTTTGCTTATATATATATATATATTTGTGTGTTGTGGGCAAAGTACAAATCTCGTGAATGCGTGGATTACGTTACTTTTTCTTTTACGAGGAGGAAGAGGAAGAGGAGTGTTTCTCTCACTAGGATTTATTGTGTTTCTCTCTCTAGAGAGATGGGTATAAGGCATTGGAATTGTCATTAAAAAGATGGAAGTAGCGTAAAACGGCCGCGTCGGTGGTGGTGGAACAATTGCTGTGAGTTCCGCCACATTTT